TTTTACCTTGTACCATATGTGATATCTTAAAAAAAAAAATTTAATATTCTTTATAAATAGTAATACCTAATCATAAAATATATAGAATATAACAAGTTTTGAATCTTTAAAAAAAATTCTTTATGTTTTCTTTGACAATGTTTCCTGGTTCACAAATTAAAATCATCCTGTACTTAAATTATATGTATGTATTGATGTAATACAATTTATGTTAAATCAGACTGAATTGACTGATATTACCAACTTATCAAAGTAATTTCTTAATAATATGAATATTTTGTATTGTTTAAGTATTCATTTTTTCGGTTGGTCCAACCGTAAATTAATCATTTAAATGTATATAAAATAAATATTTAAATTGACTTAAAAGTTATTACTTTTTAATTTAAGAGTTAAAAATTTAAAGTTTTCAATTTATTTCGGGCCATTATTTTTCCTAATTGTTTGCGATTGAGATCATAGATTTGAGAAAACATATTAATATAAATAATAGAAAATATTTGCAAATATCATGTTAAATAAATATGCATTAAAACATAACATATTATACCGAGTCCTCTGTCGAAAGTGCTACACATGCACTAGGTCGTTTCCTCTACGTTCTTAAGTTCTTCTGAAACCAATTCAAGTAATCGAGTGAGGACTAATTGAAAGCTGAAAGATGACCTGTCATTATTTTCAACACCTTCCTCAGTTGCAGTAGCAAGTTCTGTAACACATGACGTATACCCCTCGTGATTACACAGATATGTCAACTTCCAGTATCTTTGTAAAATGTATTTCGTTTCTAAATCATTCCAAGTTTTCCGACATTAATGTATATAAACTGAATTCAGTTTTATAATTATTTATTAATATATGTCTACGGTATACATTTATCGTTTAAATAAATTGCGATCTATCGATTGTGGTACATAATTTGTTATCTGTCATAAATTAAATATGGGATGTTGGGATAATAGTATGAAATAGGTAGTCATTTATTTTAATAATCAAAAATATTTTCGTTATGTTATAATATGACGTATAAAGTGTTAAATGTTATGAATGGAAAAAATAGCTAGCTAAATTTCAATTATTATTATCTAATATATTAGGAAATCAACATTTACATATACATACCTTGATAGTTAAGAGAGTTATAGTTTAGAGTTCTCTTTAAAAATGTTGTTATAACAAAATATGAGTGAAATTATTGAAATCTAGATTAAGTATGGACTTACCAGCATACATTTAAAAACTACCTAACTTTATTGACATGCTTAAAATATGTTTGATATATTTCTCGATCTTTGTTTTTCCTTTTTTTTTCATTTAATAAACATTATAAACCTTTTATGCCTATAAATAAATACGAGTAGTGTATTAAACAGTGTATATGGTCGTTTGTAGCTAGGCTCGTTTAGTACGAGTAGAGTTTTAATACGAATTGAACATTTAAAAAGCAACTCTGAGAGGTTATCCATACTTAAATGTTAAAAGGAAGACATTATCTCCATTCTTTAAAATTAATTTTATGGTTTTATTACATTTTCTCTTGAAATTTATAAGACAACTTCAAAAATATATTCTTAAATGAAGTGGTTATATATTATATTAAACGTTGATATAATCCTTTCGAAAATAGTCTTTATTATCTGTAGACGTATTAAAAAAAAACTCATAGTAAATATCAATAAAATTTACTGATTTCCAAGGTATAAAACTCTACAAATGTACTTTGAAATAGTTTTCATTCAAATAACAACCATGTTAAAATTAATTTTACGAATTAGGTTATACAGTTTTCCAACTTAATCAATAGTTTATTTAATAGTTTGAAATAGTATTTTATGATATATAATTCTATAAAGTGTCCTACTCTGACTTCATAATACTTTTCTATTGTCATGATTTTGTATGAAAGTATCTATATATATATTTTACACAATTTAATGACATTTAAAAAAACATAATTTTGCCTATTGTGTGTAAATGAAACTGATCTCCAACAACTAATTAAATATACTTTTAAATAATGTAAATAATACAATTGTATCGACTTATAACCGCTTTCGTCACATATCATTTGAAAATATTAAAAATAATATTATTCATTTGTTGTGTAAACTTATGTAATACCTATAATAAAATATTATATATATATATTATGCCCCCCACCCCACATTTTCAACGGTTTTAGTAATTGGCACTTGCTTTATACTTGTATGTATAAGTACCTATAGGTATAATATATTATAGACTTGGATACAAGGGGAGGAGCTATGGGGACTGAAGCCCCTTCTTGTGCCTTAGGTACTTGAAAATTTCACTCTTACCTATGTAATTATATAATATTATACCTTTACAATAAAAGGTAATTTGGTTATTAAAGTTTGTTATTATAAATCTGTCGTGCCATTTCGTTTTGAGAATTGATGAATCTCACACCATATAAATAAATTGAATGTTTAAACTTCGACATTTTTTTGGTATATATTATTGTCTGACCTTAATATTTTAAACTTAATTGATCAAAATTCGTCCCAACTAACCAGTAACAACCAATATATATATATTATATATATCAAATTTCGTATTTTGTTTAAATTTGGTGAATTGACTACAATTCTATTGACACATATATTTTAAACAATAAATTGAAGTACCTATACATTTCTATTTAGTATAGTAACCGTTTCACTGTTTTTATATAAGAATAAACAAGATTTTGTTTAAATATGGAATAATATATTATTATTATTATTTTTTTTTTTTTTTATTGATCATTAAGCCCGGCAACTATGGCCATTAGCTGTTTTTTGTTTGTTTGTTTGTTTGTTTAGTTTGTAGGGGAGGGAACTGTTGGTTTGTAAACACGTGTGTTTGTGGTGGCAGAATTTTTATTGGGGCACCCGTAGGTTTCTGCCATGCCCCGGAGTGGGGGGATGGCGGCACTTGTTTTCCGGACACCGTGACTTGCCCGGAAAAAAATGCCGCCCGGTGGTCGAGAATCGAACCCGCGACTGCCAGCGCCGCGGCCGACGCGTTAGACCGCTCGGCCACCTCGTCCCCCATTATTATTATTATTGTACATACCAGGCAAGAGATGACCTACAATATAAGCTAGCCATTGACCATTAAGAATAGTAACATTATAAACTCTATACTAATGGACACCAGCCAAATTAGTGGGGTTTTTTCCAATTTCACCAATTAATGTGAAACCTTGTGGTGATGAAAAAAAAAATTGGATTTGTTGGTGGCTTTGTAAAACTTTGTGCACCCTTCTCAAACTATTATGTTACAATAACAGCATAGCAGGAATTTTGGTTTGGCACCGGATGCTATTTGGGACTTCCTTTCGTTTTTTAATGAAATTTTACCAACCAAAAAAAACATAAATAAAATCCCAAAGAAATTATATATATGTATATATTTTAACAATATAAAATTAAAAACTATTATTATTATTTGATTATATTAATCCAAGTATGATAATGAAGTATACATTATAAAAGGGACAAAATGATAATCAAAGTTTAATGAAATTAAAATGTTTCAAACTGATCAAGTTTTAGTTGCCGTTAAATGTAACTAATTTGAGGCTCATATGCCTATTATATTTGATTATATTATATACGATGCACTATCTAAGAGTTATGATCAAACGGTAATATTTTATGTACTATACACGATGCTTATATCTATAGCCGATAGTTATATTTTAAATCAATATAATTAATGAATTAATACGAAAGGGTCCAAAATTCTCTTCCGATTAATGTATAAAATACGAACTAATACTTCTAAGGATTTATATATCTATATATACATATATATTTATGAAGTCAAATTGAAAATTTAGTTGCGGTCTTGTTTCTTTACCAATATTTTTCCACCAAATCACACAACACTGCCATAATGTATTATACATTTTTAAACTTCACTTTATGTGAATTATCCTTCTTTTTCTACTTGAATAATTGATCGAACTTTAAATGAATCACTACCTCGAACAAAGATCGTAAATTGTTTATTCAAACCAACAAGAATTTATTTCCACCATAGTTATTTAGTACTGTATATTTTCAGATGTTTATTTAACATGTTTCTTAACATTTTGTTTACATTTAATGAGGTGTTAGAAAGATAAGTAGACACTCTGCATGCGTTAGGTACTAACTTACATAAAATATATACAAGCAAAAAAAAACTATGGATTACATTTGTGTAGTTAATGAACTAAATAATTTGATATACTATCGTTTATTATTTAATGTTGAACTCACTATACATATTGTTTAGATATTTTTGGAATAATTTTTATTTTATTAGTTGGATAGGTTCGAGTGTAATTGACTAAAAACACATATAACTATACATTCTAAATACGATCCTGTCAATACATATAATCAATTAGCATATTTAAATATACATAAAATTAAGTTATGTCGGTATTTCAAAATTAAAAAACAAAAATTTATAAATTTAATTCAAATTATTTAGGTACAATAGAATAACTTTAAAATGGCATTCGAGTTTCAATGGAAATTTAATTAACAATTTACAATTAAAGAGTTATTCAAAATTCAAATATTCATTATTCTTTATCATTATAAGTTTAATTATTCAGGTATAAAGTAACCTTTGTATTTCAATACGAAATTGAAATTTTCATGAAGTAATTAGCTATTCTGCTGTTCGTATTATATATAGTATTATGTATAGAACTATTTTTTTTCTCTTTCAAAGTTGAAAACATGATTTATTCATTTGTTTATGTAAAAAATATGTTTAGTTTATGTATTTATTATTCTTAAAATATACGATTTAAAGAATTGTATAGTTGTACCCCTATTTTTAACCACTTACCAAAAATGTACAATATTGTTTGCAAAATAAATTCATTTATTTTAGACAAAGTATTTAAGAAATAAGTTCGCCTTAAATATAACAAAATATATTATCTAAGCATACCTACCCTAATACTTGAATTTGATGTATTTGACGTGTTTCAGGAACGATGCGGAAACGGTACTGGACCTTTGGACAACATGCGCAACCTTGAACACTATTTAAACGATATTATGCGTTCTGGTACGGAAAATCCAGAACACGTGAAAGGTAAGCCTTTACGACTGTATTATTTATAATCAGGGTTTTTGTATGGCATAAGCAGGTCACTACACGTCATAATGTATGTCACATTGTCACATGAACGATGTGCTACACTAATATGGCATATAAAAATTATATTGAAAAATCATCAGCAAATGATTTTAAAACGTTATACCTACCAATAATCTACATACATATATATGTTTATACGTCTACAGGCTTCGTTAATTTAAACGACTGTGTTTGCACACAAACTTCCATCGTGATATTTACGCCTTTTCTTTGTGTTCATCACGGGCGCAATATTATATTGTTTCGCTATCGATTCGTGTTTTGTTACTCGTGAGAAATATATTTTCTAATGTAATGGTAAACGAAACTCAAGTGTATATTGATTATACCATTAGTCTATTTGAAACGTGATTTTTCACGGAGCTATTTCTCCGTCATAGATACAACAGTTTTATGAATGTGTAATGTGCACAACGTGGTGAAACCATTATATAATAATACACACTCCGTATAGAATATAATAATAATAAACTTAATAATATATAGTATATATTATATAGTATTCTATTTCCTTTTCGTGTTTTTTTTTTTGTCCATTCATTCAGAGCACACGCAGTTTTCTATCAATGCCCTATCCATCTATCCTTTCATTTATCTATCTATCCGAGTGTGTGCGCTTGCGTGTGTGTGTGTTTGTTTGTTTGTGTCTGTGCATGTGTGTGTCTCGATGAGTGTGTATTCGATATTGGCGAAAATCCAATAATGCCGACAGGAAAGACACGGGGTGGTAATGTAGAACCTATAACGGAATTGGGTCCAAAGGTGGTTGGTTAAATCCCCCCCTTCACCTATCCGTCCCCGAATTCTCTTGCACCCGCGCACGGTTGACATTAATAACGGCTCGTCGAAACCGCCAATAAGGTCAGGCTGCGGTAGGTGGGGGGCGGGGGATTTAGCACAATAGTGCTTCACACGCACCCACGCACGCACGCGCACACGCACACTCATTCACACACTCGCACGCACACACATAGACCACTGTAAACGCGTCACGATCGAATCCCCAAACGGAACTTCGTCCTAGTTGTTATGGTCCCTTTCTATCTGGCAACCCCACCCCGCGCGCGTACCCTTCCGAAGTTCCGTGTGCGTTTTTCCCGTACACCTTTACCGTGTTCGCCAGCAATGTACAATGCCAGCTGCCAGTAATTAATAACCTGTCTAAACGTCTATTAGTTCTGGAACAATAAACGTTAAATTTAATGTTTCCCCAGAATGATTTGAATAATGGTTGATGCCGTCGTTGTCGACGTATAATCGTCTACTGTATGTTGTTTCCCGACGATTCGCCACCGTACACTGTGTATCGATCACACACATTTTTTTAACCTTGTTGCATAATTTATTATATGTAAAAATACAAAATTTCAATTGATTCTATTTTTCTTACGATAACGAAATCATGCTCACAAGGTCTTATTATGTGGTAACATATTTCCAACTATATATTATGTATATGCATGTAACCGTATGTAAACGTAGTTGGTACCTTTATACGGAATATGTTAAATAGTTTGAAAAGCCTCATTTCCCAGTTTGACTTATTTTTTTCTATGTCTTTATGAGACTTTTTTTTCAACGTCGATCAGGTTTAATGCTTTTATTTTTCTAGTCAATTAGATAATATCTGAAACCAAAAACGAATTAAGTAACACTTTTTGGATAAAGTCGTAGTCAGAAATAAATTGATTGAAATTTGTACAACAAAGTAGGTTTGAATAAAAATTGAATACATTTTTTTTCCACTTTAGGTAGGTATTGTCATAAATTAAAATTTCTAAAAGTTAAAATTTTCTATTTTTATAAATTAAACAAATTTAGAATTATTTAATTTAAGAGAATACAATTTTTTTTGTTTACTCTCGAATTACATTAGTACAAGAATTTAAAATAACATACCTATTTAATTATAAAAATTGAACTTATTACTATTGACATTTCTTTAATGCTGGTAACTTCAGTCACCCGTAAAATATAGAAAAAAATTTTTTCTGCTCCATTTATAGCATTTGATAAAATAAATAAATTGTAACTATTTCGTTTTTTATTAAATCTCTGGAGTATAAAATGTAAATTTATAATTTTATCAAGTATTTTACACGTTTTTAAACTGATAATTGATGTTTTTTTTTCATAAATATTGATTTAAACAATATTAACTCACACATTAAAATAATACATTGTATATTGTACACTATATGTACATTGTACATTGCTTTATGCACATTAAATATAATGTAAATAGATAATATTATATATTTTCTTCACTAATACTTATTTTATATGAATGTTTTGAACTAAAAAACTAATTATAATGGTTGATGATTACTCCGAATGGGTAGGTATTATTGTTTATCATGCTCTATTGTTTTATATTTTGTGTAATATTTGAGTTATATTCTTCTAACTGAACTGAATTATACTAACTCCAAACAGCTGTGTTATGTCATCGCCTGATTAGCACTAGTTTTCCCAGAGGACGTCGTGTAGGACATTATCTGAACTGACGGAATACTGATGTTATTATTTTATCCTCTCTCAATGCTTATATTACTTAGCATCCACTTGATTATAATTATAGCAGTGACCAAACAAATTACAAAATGGTTTGAAACCCAAATTTTAAACCAAATATTTTGATAACACTTCATTATTTTCGAACAATATACACGTTTGAATATTTAAGTGATAATTATATAATTATATTTAATATTCATACAAAAGTATGTTTTGTCTCATCCCACTAAATCCGACTAAATTCTTTTAATATTATCATTGTAACCTTATAATTGGTATAAATGTATTATTTAGCAATTTTGATTTTATTAATCGTTAATTGATGTATATTTTTTTATCATCAAAATCGTCGGGTTATAATTACAATTTACAGAAAGACATAACAATAGATAATAATAACAATAATAAAAACAATAATTAAAAAAAATAATTATAAAAACGTTCGGCGTTACAGATTAAAACGTTTATTACTGAGAGAACTTTGTTGTAGGTTGCCCATTGACACGCAGTATAAAACACTCAAACGATCCGTAACATGATACTAAATACACTGAAAATTGTATGCCATAATGGAAGTTTCGTAAGAATAAAAAAGATGATTGTATATTATTATGTTGGGTGTATACTATATGGTGAATAAATAAAAAGTGTCCTTATGCCCTTATTAATATTAAACTATACGTATTGTGTTTTATAGTTGGTTCAGTATTGTTGAAAGCTATGGTATAAAATATTTTATAACCTTGACAGTCGATTAAGCGCCTGACGAAACTTTTTTAGATTATGATAAGACGGCGTTTTAAATAGGCAATTTAGGTACATAACCGTCTTATGACGGTTTTGCGTTACATTGCTACTATACTCTTTTCAGAATAAGAAGGAACCAGGCGGCCACGGACAAAACCGGTTTTGTTACTTAAATCTGGTGCGTTCTTATTCTGAAAAGAGTATAATACCACAGGTATGATATGTCTTTTATGCATTTCTATTTTGATTTTAAAAATATGATTTTCTGACTTTCTAATACATCAAAGTAAGATTTAGTTATTATTATTATTATTATTATTTATAGGATATATTTTCTTTTTTCGTAGAATTTGACCAATTTTGTTTCTTGCCTATCTTGGACTTAAAATAAATAATACTTAAAATGAAAATTTTGGATTTAAGTTGTTAGAAAAAGATTTTAATTTTTGTAGTTATTTACATTACATTTAATGATTTTAATTTAATTACAAGATATTTACAATTTGATAGATACATATAAATCGATATGATTTATTTTAATATAAATAAATTTATTTTTAATTATAATGTAATGATACCTGAAGACAATATTTTTTATCGACATGCATATTTTTTCTGAACTGAATTATATCTTCAGTCTTGAATAGGTAGGTTTTTATATAGTTTCAAAATATTATTATAATTTTTTGTCATTTAAAATATTGTTCGGGGGTAAAATAATACATTTTTAGAAACCTTGATAAAGTCTCTCTAGTCTTATACTATCTGAGCTGTATAATATGTTGTTATATTAATTTCATAATCTGACTGCCATTTCTTTGATTATCTACATGACGTTATTGTTATTATTATTATTATTATTATTATTATTTTTTTGTTACATTTTCTCTTGAACATTATTTGTGTGTTCCACCACCTGTCGTTCAGATTTTTCCCGCAATAATACGCCATAAGAGCCAGGAATATTTTCTTCTCCACCCTTTCTACAAAAAGGAATTGTAAAGAAAATGAAACGAGGGCGACCCGTCGACCCGGATGTACAAAAGAGTCGTCGCAACAATAAGGACAAAAAAAAATAATAATAAAAGTATAAGAGAAATGACGGAAATTATTATAGTGAGAGGGTTTTTTTTTTGAAACAATGAAACTGTAGAGGGTTGGAACGCTTACTAGAGGAATACAACAGTTGAAAAGTTATGTGATCTAAAAAAAAAAATTACCTACTACGCAGTCTGTATTCATTGATTCAGTAGACGGCTTATGAAGTGTAAATAACTACAATTACCCACACTTACAAGTGTTCCATATTTGTTTGATAAAAATAAAAAAATCCTGTATCTATACGACTACTGTGATTTACGAACTTCACAATTATAAACTTTCAAGTTTGTTTAATCAACTTTTATTGAATTCAGACGGTAAAAATAGTACCATATATAAGTATTAATTTTATTCATCGTACACAATTTTTTAGCCTTTGATAAATTCAATGAATGGTTCTTTAATAATAAAATCACACGCCTTTGAATATACAGTTAACACAATCATAAAATTAAAAATAAACATAAATTGTTTACTGAATATTTTGTTCCCATGTTTGTTAAATACAAAAAATAAAAACTGTTTAAAAATGAATCGAGACTAATTCTTTTGATTTTAAGATAGAAGGT